ACGACTTTAATTGTTCTTAGATTTTATAATTATTCACCTTTACACTGGACAATTACATAAAATGAGGCGGATCTTTACTTCCTACGTCTGACAATCTCTTCTACTTCTGATTCGACTAATGATAGCCTATATCACACGGGGTGTCGGTTTATTGTTCCATCTGAGTGACTGGACGCTTTTCGATGCCAGCCCTTCTGACATGTAACATTCACAGGGAGATCTTCGTTATCTCGACCTAGAATCGTGTGGTTCCAATTATGCTGAAAGTAAGCATCGGGTTTATCGATTTATATCTAATCACTTAAGAGTTTAAAAAGGACAGAATTCCACGAAAGTTTTTTATCAACAGTGTCTTTAATAGACTTTAACAATTTCTGTTCTAATTATCTGAACTGTTGTTGATTGCTACTTGTTGAAGGTTTCCTATAATCTGATTGTCCGATTCTCTGATCGAGTTAAACTCTATCACTATCTGAAGAGACTGAGTACTTCTATTCACAGTTCCTACTAGTCGTCTACTGGTAGTGGATGTTATTAGATTTAATGATAGTTAGTATCAACTGTTTCTCCACCAACTCTCATGGTGTTGAGTTTAAACAGAGAACAAACAGTGAGGCTCATCATTGAAGTAAATGAAATTGATTTCGGGTTTGATTCTCTCCCAAATGTACAGACCTGGATGGAAAAAATACTTCATTAAGAAAATGGAATAATTATTATCGAACTGTTGGGTATTTTTCTTCTGTTCTGATCTGAAATTAGATAAAAAAAAAAAAAAAATAACTCACCCATTGGGCGAGAGGTTAGATTGTTACTGATGGACTTTAGTTTGTTATGAACAAGGTTGTCATGTAAGTTCTGGTTGTTTTAATATGCAATAATCATCTTCTTTTATTTATAGACATGGGGGAATGTCTCTTTGTGCCTGTCATAATGGGCATGAAACAACAAAGGGTGCTATAAGAGTTATCTCATTTTTGTGTTACAAGGGTACGGTATCATAAGTAAAATCCTTTTCCACTGCGTGTTAATTAAGAAAATGGAAGTCAGTATTTAATGTATGGTTTATAGAAACATGAATATTATAACTGTTAGATTGTTTTCAAGTGTTATATAATCAGATAAGATAATACAATCAATATTATGGAGACAATAACAGTAAAACTATTAAAATATTAAAATACAGGTGATTATTGTTAACAAATACTGTCTGCTAACCGTATCTTTCTTTACTACTTGTTATTTTTTCTATTTAACACTCAAGCGTAATAAAAGAGTGGTTCTGGGGGAAGAGTGGTGGAGGGTGGTGGGTGAGGTGGTGCAGGGTGGTGGGGGAGATGGGGGAGGTGTTTTTGAGGTGTGTTTGCTAAACAAATTATATTAAGGGCAAGTACCCTCAAAAAAAGAACATCGCATCACAGAAAGTTTCATTTCATTCTGAGTATCTACTTTATCTGACAGTAGTTTGAAACACTCTCAAATGATTCATCTACCCACAAAGGAGCTGTATGTCATTCATACTAGTCTGTTAAGGGCGCTAATCAAGGGCCACGACATCTAGTGTGCAATGCTAGAAATTCTTTTCAGCACACAGCATCAAGCTGCTTCTACAAGATGCCATTTATGCCCGACAAGATACAAGCACGCGAAGCAGCTCATGCTAGGGTTAGGGTTACCTAATGGTAGTCTTCATTTGAGGAGTTCACTACTTTATTCTTGCTGCCGATTTTGTCATGCCTTTTTATGAGATTTTTGGTTACTGGAATTGTTTTGCTTGTACGGATTTTATTAAATTCAATGAGTACCGTACATGTGTCACCGAGAGCGCTGAGAAACCTGACTCTATCGAATGAACCCGAGAAAGTCAGACCGACCCGCATACCAGTCGAGCCACCCCCTCACGGTGATCGATTATAACAACGAATCATTGAACCTATATACAAGATGTCGCTATTGGAATGTTAACTATTTCATTTTGTTCTGCGATAAAATCATTCTTTTAAAAAAAAATCGAAGCCATATTCAGATAATAAAACAAACCCTTTCACTCGATTTCGATTTATTTATTTATTTGATTGTCTTGAAAGTTATGTGTTGCTGCATGTGTTCGTGTGTTTTAGAATGGTTATATTATGATCTTTATTATTGTGTTATGTTATATATAGTTCTCTTGTACTTAATATTAGATTTGGTCCAGAAATCATCTTGCCATGTAACCAAATTATTATTGAAGAAATAGAACAGTCTGAGTTTTATTGTCGTACATACCGTAGAAAACTACAGTATTAGTAAACTTCACTACGTGGTGTGATAGTACTGAACAAGTATACAACCTTTCAGAGATTAACCATTAATTGCCGCGGAGCGTTGGTCAGACTGGCGATAGAAGCGATCACATCACCTTTAAGTTCTTTCAACTGTAATGACTTTCCATAACTATTGCGATAGAGCGTTGGTATCACGAATACGGATATTGACATGGTCTTTTTAACTGAGGAAGTAATACGAATGGGGGCAGTGGCGGAGCCAAGGGGGTGGGGGGCATGTTTTTCGGGCAAAAATATCATAACTAGGTTAGAAATTCGGGCAACCTCAGGTATCTCGCCCCTTCTCGGAAGTAAACTAGGCTCCGTCACTGAATGGGGGTGTGGTTAAGACATGTTGGGTAGACCCCTGAACCACCGAGGACAGCAAGCAGGTTTAAAATATCGTTCTCAGTTTTTCATACACAACGTTTCTACAATTTACATTGTCATCATGAAATACTATTTTACCAAATTCAATTCAATTCAAACCTTAACCAACTTCTATTAAACATGTACGATATATTTGTACCTCCGAAAAGAGAGGCAGGCCAAAAGTACGTCTCACCTTCAAGTTGTTATCAACTTTAATGGTTTAACTTTTACCATAAAAATTGAGCGTTGATGAGATAACTATTAATGTGGACCTCTGAGGGTAGAAGCAGGTCTAAAAGTACGCATTACTTTCAAGTTGTTGTTGAATCTGATATTTCCACGAGAGGATTAATTACCATTACTAATAACCATTACCAGTTATCATTAGTATTTCTAATTACAGTTGAACATGGAATAGATTCTCTTTAATATACACTAAATACAGGCTGAATACACGACACTCTGTCTCTAGGGGACGTAATCGACATTTGATTTTATTTCCACATTACAACTGGACTGAAAATGAACATTAAACTGAATTGATTTCAATTGTAAACTTTTGATTTCCGATTCGCGACCAGAGAATTATCGCTGACTAACACGTTTCATGTTTGGTGAAGAGTGTCTTTAGGGACGGAATTATTGTCTGGTTTAAAAGAATCGAATAGTGAATCATTGAATATTGTCCTGTGATTGCTGCTGTGTTATTTCCCTCCCTTCATTGAGTTTATATTACAGTCTTTACATCTCGAATGATTAAACTATTTAGATGCTAACCTGGAGGTCCAGGGTTCAATCTCTGTACAAATCGAGATAATATGTTTAGATTTTTCAAACCCGGTTTCATCCTGTCGTGTGTAATAGACCGAACACAAAGATCCCTTGAAAGAAACGTAGGTGTTTGCTGCTGTCTTGGCATGGTGCATGGTGATGTCTGTTTTTCTCAATCGATTCTCGATTGCATCATTATGATATAACACTTTCATTCCTATTGCCGCTGTCTTGACAGAAATCCCGCATTGCAGATCTCATGGTATAGCCTATTGACAAATCATTAGTAGAACGTTATGACATTTGAACGAATATATGCCCTAGTTTCTACATCTCTGATATTACCTGGACCAGTTGTTCACCGACAATCAGAAGTTAGCTGACGGCAGTAAGGATACAATGACAAGTTATTGGTCGTGAATTGATGTGTTGAAGAGATGGCTAGAGGCAGAAACAACAGGAGATCTCTCATAACTGGTTTTAATGTAAAATAAAACTCTGTATTCCACAATAACTAGTAAATCATTTGTTCATATTAAACATTATTTCACGATATTAGTCAAGTTAACGAGGATAGAAACACATAAATTTTAAAATGAACCAATATTCATGAAAATAATCAGTTTCATTTCTCGAGAAGTATTTAAAATACACAATAAACATTATTAGCTATATAGACTCTCTGAAAAGGATATCAAATACCAAATGAACATTATTAGCCGAGTTGTCGAGTAAACAACAATACCAAATAAGCATTATTAGCTATGTGGACTCTCTGAAAAGGGTTGTCGAGTTGACAAACTAAAATACCAAATAAACATTATTAGCTATGTGGACTCTCTGAAATGGATTCTGGCAAAACTAAATACATTACACTGTTTATCAATTATATTGCTGTTTATAAGATATTGTATTAATGCGAGACTAGGTATATCCGTTACCTATTACCTTTTATAACGACTCCAGAAGATTATTATATATGTTACGCTGCTAATAGACGCAGTGAAAGCGTGTCGTATCCATTACAATACCACACTTTAAAACATCATAGACAAAGATCAAATGAATAAAAACAAGGCGATGAAAGAAAGGAAGAGAATGTCAATGTCTTCACGATATTTATTATTTAACAGTTTAACACGACATACTGGTAAAAACTACGGGATTGTCATGGACTCTGCTATAATAGTTGTTGAAAGGTTTACAGTCTTAAGTACCAATCTCTTGATTTCCTTCAACTCAACGCTTCCAACTGATAGTCCCAGACATACTGACGTTACTACCCTGTCCCAACGAAATTTGGATAAAAATCAAGAAGATGTAATGCACTTTATCGTGCACAATATGAACATGATTCAAAATTTGATAACATTGCTCTTAAACAACGAAATTGTGAATTTACGATAACAGTTTTACAAAGATCCGAAACATTGAATTATACACTGGTTATCTCGTTATACCAGGGTTGTATAAGGTGTCTAATACCACTAACCTCGTGTATTAAATATTAATTAACATACTCTCATTTTGACTCTCAATTTGTTGTTTCAGGTTGTGTCTCAAACTGCTCTAGAAGATGCCAAAGCTTTGGTGATGAACGCGTTTGATGAAAATCAAGATGGTCGAATCGACATTGCAGAAGTAAGTACCTAATCGAATTTAGAAAGTGTCAGGAAATATAATCTGCATGGACAGGTGCGCCATTTTGGGGGGTTGAATATATGTAAATAGTCTTCAGAAGTACTAGAAATGTACGAAAATCACATAATTCATGTAAAAATATCTTCAACTAGGAATTTTACTCATATACGTCCATATATGACAACTCTATATATCATAGAGTATCTTAAACTGACGAGTCGTCATTTCAAACACAGATAATTCTGGACACACATGGATTTTAAGGCTCAAATTTCAACGGTGAGCTGTGAACACTTTTACGGATTGGCTTAGCTACAAATTTCCAGTTTCGGAGACTAAGGTATGATTGGTCCAAAAATGGCCTACCTGTCCCTTTAAGAGTCCTTAAGAGGAATGGGTTTCAGGAGGGTCGACTACACACCTCCTTCCAATCTACCCACACCCTAACTCATAAACACGCTACCAAGGGTTTCGACATAACTTCTCAATATTCAGCATTTTAGAATATATTGCCACTGAAATTGACCTACAAATTTTGAAAACGACAGTTCAACTGGAGTGGTTGGTTAGGATGAAAGTTTTGAAGAAATACTCATGTTTCAAAGACTAGACGTTGTCTGGCTCGAGAGACCTTCATGTTTCAAATTGTTTACCATCTCGTTTTCCATCTGATTTCAGTTAGCACAGTTGTTACCCATGGAAGAAAACTTTCTGTTGTTATTTAGGCGAGACAATCCACTCGATTCCAGTGTAGAGTTTATGAAGGTATGCCAACTGGAATCTTTTTCTTTATCCTCAATGCCTTGCTAGTCAACACGACTCTTTACAGATGTAACTATTATATTGACAAGAGTTATTGCCCTTGCTATCAGTATATAACCAGTATAATGTTGACAAGAGTTATTGCCCTTGCTATCAGTATATAACCAGTATAATGTTGACAATAGTTATTGCCCTGTTATCAGTATATAACCATTATAATGTTGACAAGAGTTATTGCCCTTGCTATCAGTATATAACCAGTATAATGTTGACAAGAGTTATTGCCCTTGCTATCAGTATATAACCAGTATAATATTGACAAGAGTTATTGCCCTTGCTATCAGTATATAACCAGTATAATGTTGACAAGAGTTATTGACCTTGCTATCAGTATATAACCAGTATAATGTTGACAAGAGTTATTGCCCTTGCTATCAGTATATAACCAGTATAATGTTGACAAGAGTTATTGCCCTGTTATCAGTATATAACCAGTATAATGTTGACAAGAGTTATTGCCCTGTTATCAGTATATAACCAGTATAATATTGTTACAGGTCTGGAGACAGTATGATAAAGATAACAGTGGTTATATCGAGGCAGATGAATTAAAGGTAACACTCTTATTTCTACCAGTATTACTTTTCAGACATAAACCCCGGCACCCAGTTCCCCTACAATCGATAAAAACGTACAATAGAATTTCAGACTCTACTCATTAACAGTATAGATATTGTATTATATATATATGGAACAATTTACCATCAGACCTGCGATTTTCAAAATCTATCGACATCGTCAAGAAAACCTAAAAACTTTCTTGTTTAATGATTCTTGAGTAATACTATTATTATTATTATTATTATTATATTTATATCAAATTTCAAAAGCTGAGTCAAAACTACATGATGAATGTTTTCAAGTCACCAAATGATTTTGATAACTTCCTCAACTTGATATTTACATTAATGAAAACAAGAAAAAAGAATGATTGATATACTGCCTCATGTGAAAAGCTTATTAGCTGCTATCAATGTTTCGCCAATATGTTGTTTTGCATTTCGGGTTTCGTTTTGCGGTTCTGATCGTTAGTACATGGTTTATTTATTCCAAGTACTTAACAATATATGTTAATATTAACAAAAAGAGAAACAAATTCATCATAATTGCGTAATTTAGAAGTTGTCATTCTCTCCCACTACGTCTGTCATCTTTTCAACCAGTAATTATTTTATCTCCGATATTAAAATAGTATTGAAACCACGTCAGGTTATATTCCCTGGCGATTAGCCTACATCCTGATCTGAAGTTAAAAGGCAGCTTCGTCGAGACGGAATCCGGTTGAAAGTTTACAAGATTCACTATTTTAATATATTTGTCAAATTAAAAGACTTTTAGAATTGACTGAAGCTCATTTCATGGTTAAAAAATCCTAACCAGGGTCATCAAAAGGAAACAAAAAATATAAATTAGGAATTAGGAAAATGTCATTTTTACGGTATGTCGAAGTGGAGTCACCCGCAGAAGAAAAAACGAAACAAACTTTGCATGTTAATCATATTGGGTCTTATGGTTCTAACATATCGTACCAATCCTATATAGGAAGTAATGTAGAAATATTAAAACATAACGTTACAAAAAACATGTTGTTGTCTCACGCTATGCCATACATGCATATATAGACGTAATGTATGCACTTAAACCTTCGGAAATTGGCTTATTAACAAATGTTACCTGCCACGCCCACTTTCTGCTTTTTGTCTTATTGGAAGCCTGTTCCATCATCAACTACAAACATTTTCCGGTTTTTAACATTTTTATAGACATTAATAATTATTTATTTGTCTTTTTAATCAGCAAGAATTGGTATTTCTTGTCATAAAAATTATAATATTTCACATTTCACTTAGTAAACAACAGTATTCATTGGCAGCCTAACTTGGTGACAATCATCTGCAAGGCAGGATATGCTCACTCTATGTCATATCGGCATAACTGGAATCCTAACAGCTTCGATCTGTTCTATTTGATATAATCAAACATAGATATTGTTTTGTTACGTTTTAAATGGTATCTGGATGTTCACAAGTGTCCTATCTCGACTTTAGTAATGATAGTGATTGTGATTGTACAGCTATTAATTCCCTCTTATTTTGTATTTTTCAGTTATTTTTAAAGGACTTACTAAAGAATTGTAAAAAAGATATTGATGTGAGTGAAGAGAAGCTGATAGAATATGCTGATACTATGGTAGGATTTTAATATAATATTGATCTCAGTGTCAGTCGACCACATAATCCGGGAAAGGACAGCGCTAGGAGGTTTGGCCTATGATCAGCTGGTAGAAAGGCTTTAAGGTGTTATCTCCGTAAAGAAAATTGTATATTCTTTCTTTCTGCCTCAGCTACTCTGCCACTTATACATGTAGAGAAGTAGGACGTAAAACTCCATTCAATTCATTTCATTTTTTTCTTATTCATTTATATCTTTAAGAAGATCCACCGTGTTATATAACCAATGTTTTGCCTATTTCCATATATTATTCCAAACCTGGACATCCGCGATAAAATAAAACAGAACTTCTTGCCTTTCCTCGTCTTTCCTCGTCTTTCCTCGTCATTCATGCAAGCAGAAGAGACTGACATGTGTATAATTCCTTTCCATGTTGGTCTAGACACCTGATACCACTTTTAATTATGAAATACTTACTCACTAATAATTGATATACTTCCTCATGTGAATAGTTCATGAGCCGCAACCAATGTTTTGTCAATTCCGGTTTCGTTTTGCTGTTCGGATTGTTAGTATTTGGTTTATATATGCAAGCAATGAAACTGACATGTGTAAAACATGTGGAAGTCTCGGCTGGAGGAATATCAAAATCTATTTACACTGCAAAAGTTCACACAAAGAAGAATGTAAACTGTACTTGTTTTTGTCACAAAATCGATGGAATGATATTTGAAAAACACCATGTGATGAAAAACAGTGTCAAAAGATGTAAAATTTGTTTTTCTCGAATATCAATTAAGTTTTCAACAGAATAAAAAAACATTGGCGACATTAATCATTGTTTTTTCCACCAAAGAGAAGGAGACTTATTTTTAGTTTTAAAGGTTGAAATGTTTTCACTTTGTTTTTTTCAGTTACAACTTTTTGACCGAAACAAAGACGCCAAATTACAACTTAGTGAAATGGCCAAGTAAGTTATTAATATTAGATTCAATATCATATTCGATTTTAAAATGGCAACCCAGTTGTGTGCACCATCCTCTGATAACTAATAGGGCAGATGTCGGACGGTGTAGAGACAGAAAACATTGGACCTGTTAAATGGGTTTTTCCGCATCTCCGCAGGTGAGAGTTTTTTACACTCATTTAGATACCTCAGATCTGCAAAGCCCACATATATTTGAAAGATGAATATTTTTGTAGTTTAGTCATTTCCCCCCTGAACCATTCTTGTCGCGTTTCCGGTTCCATCAAAATTGTTTTTAACGAAAATGATCTCGCATCTGCGGAGCAAACAGTTCAAAGGGCCTATTTATTCTCAACTCTACTTCAGCCGACAACTGTCAAAATATCCATCAGAGGCTGGAATAGAGGCAGATGTTTCGGACTATGCTCAACCCTAATGAGACAAATCCGACCCTACCCCACGTAATATACAGAGGTGATATCGTCACGGTAAGGACCAGCCTCAAAGGGTCACATTTTATGGTAGTTGCTGCGGCACATTTAAGCAGATCATTTTTGGAGAATTTTCATCATGTCAATAGTCAAAATTTTGGAGTCTTTACAAAGTTGAACCAATAATGAATCTATCAAGACATTTCCAGATATTCTGGGGTGTCACCTAGCCCCACACAGTCAACTGGTAGGCTAAGGGTTACTTACGGAGTTGAACGAAGGTTTCAAACTGCTTCATTGGCATGGTCAACCTTTTTTTATACTATAATCTGACTGATGACTTCATCCTCCTCTTTTGCGAAAAGTTTCTATTATGGGAATTTTTACCAACGAATAGCACTACCAGCAGGACACGAGGGTTGGCGAAATTTTACTCTTCGCAGTTTTTGGAGTTGATCTAGTTTTTGACTTTCTTATCATTGTACATAGTAAAAGAATTGCCTATATATTAATCTACCTTTTTTGTTTTTATTTCCCATTGTTTTCATATATTTAAGCACTCTTAACATAGTCTGTTAGGAAAGGGCATTGGAAATACCAGACCTCATTATTGTACTCAATTTGATGTAGAGTATAATCTCTTATTCTTAGACCTGACATATATATAGCATTACCAAATAACTAGGTACGAGTAAATTATGTCAATCGCGTACGGGATAACAATCAAGCGGATGACAGTGGTTCGCCTACGAGTTAGCTATCAAGCGGATTACAGTGGTTCGCCTACGAGTTAGCTATCAAGCGGATTACAGTGGTTCGCCTACGAGTTAGCTATCAAGCGGATTACAGTGGTTTGCCTACGAGTTAGTTATCAAGCGGATGGCATTGTCTTGCCTACGAGTTAGCTATCAAGCGGATGACAGTGGCTCGCCTACGAGTTAGCTATCATTCCTTGTCTACGAGTTAGTCATCAAGCGGATTACAGTGGTTCGCCTATGAGTTAGCTATCAAACGGATGGCTTTGTCTTGCCTACGAGTTAGCTATCAAGCGGATGGCATTGTCTTGCCTACGAGTTAGCTATCAAGCGGATGACAATGGTTCGCCTACGAGTTAGCTATCACGCGGATGACAGTGTTTTGACTACGAGTTAGCTATCAGACGGATGGCAGTGTTTGTAGACAATTGCGTTCGCATACTAATACAGAAGATTATCCCTTTTTCCCACAATTAGAGACCACGAGTCTACACCATGGTGTGTTGGTCATCTTCCGCATCAACCACCTAAGGCCTACATCAATTAGACCGAACTCTTTCAATCATATATCAACTCTATATATTGCAGGCTGCTTCCAGTAAAAGAAAACTTCTTGTGTAGACCAGTGTTTAAGGTAAGTTAGAGCTTATTTATCCTGGACGTCTCTAGGTTCGGCATGGGTTCCGCATGGACAGGTTGAGATTAACGTTCTCATTATTATCCCTATCAGGTACAGAGCAACAGGCTGTCAAACCGTTTAAAGAATATTAATCTAATGTGATTTCTAAATATTTATAATATCTAAATTCATATTTTATTGGCCAATTAGTCACAATTCCTGTTTTTATAAAGCTGGTACACCCTTTAAATTAATGTCATTTCCGCGGACCTAGTCTGTTCTATACTAACTGTATTTTGCTATGTTATAATATATTATATTCTAGACCCACTCTGATTGTAATATACTATATAATAAACACATTAGTACCCTGTAGCTAATCTAATACCAGAAACAAACTTATTACCTCCAAATATTATTTCTAAATTAACCCCGTCGAATTCAATCTTGTCTATTTGTTAGAAACACAACATTAACCACCTCCATTACTTTACCAGTAAATATATAACTTAGTCCGAAACTCGTTCAGTCATAACTGGAACTCAGCTGAGATAGAAATATCAAATAAACAATCCATGAATTCCTTCCTTGATGTTTAATTATTAAAGCAGTAAAAACTGCAAGATGTTGAAGAACGCTTTTGAGATCATGCATGTCAACCAGCAGTCAATGGCCTATTGGTGTGCACACAAATTTTGTTTACATAATAGTAGATAAGGTTGGACGGAAATGGAGGCACTAAAAGGGGTTTTTGTGTCAATTTTTTTAAGTTGATGAAAATCCTTTCACATTTTAAAGTTTGTTGGTGTTTCTTGTAAAGTCAAGTCTATTAAAGGTGTCATCATCAACAAGCTTATCAACAAGTTTAGTATGTCAATTGTAGTGTCAAAAATAATATCAGATCCAGCAGAAAGTCACACTTGGTCCGATGTCCAAGAGAAAACCTCTTAGTCGGTTATGAAAGTATTGATTGTCTTGTGATCTGAATTATGTTTTGGGCTAACTATTGTTATGATATTAAGAGCTATTTCATTTAGAAAATGGAAATTGAGACAGGAAGATTGGAGGACTGTAATATCTTGGTCTTTCTCTAAGTAATATTTATAGAAAATGATTAGACTACTCTTCTCACGATGTTCTATTGACTTGTCAATTTCCATATATTTATTGTGTAAATTAAATAAATAATACCAGTAATAAAGAGGTCTGTATACTGTCTTCTCTAGCCAGATATTTTCTCTTATACCTAATGGCCTGATTACCATATCATTAAGTACCAAACGGTTGCTCCTAACGTCATTTCAAGTGTTCTTACTAATTACCGTAAATAGTCCAAATGGAATACAAACAACCACCCAATTTACAGTCCAAATGAAATAGTGTTTTACTTTGTAGAGCTACATCTTCACCTTGTCAAGCTATTACGAATAGCTACCTTTTGTATCATGGAAGCTGGTAAATACAGCGATTTGATTGGATTGTATACTACCAAACACAGCCAATCAGAGGCCGCGACAGAAAGTATGTTAAAATTGAGAAATTCCTTTTTTCAGAGTGGTAAACAGTTAACGTATGAAGATATCAACCGGGTATTCAAACTATACGATAGAGTAAGTATCATTTTATATTACCACCGGCAGCATTCTGGATATCCAACCATCGTCAGTAATGTTATATGGGCTACCTATATTTGGACAATGGCGTATCTAGGAAACATTAGTTGAGGGGACCGAGCAGTGAACACAGGAGGGAGTCGTATTCTATTCTTTCCCTATGTAAAATGATAAAAATTGGGGCCAGAGTCGGACTTTAACCTCTTGACAGCCAACCATTCATTCTCCACCACCTTTCCGCCACGTATTTGTATGGTATACCATGGAAGGTAAATACAATGGTTAACCTGGCCGCCTCTATGTATATTATTTCTTATCTGTAACCGGCCATGCATATTTATGGTGTAAAATCACCTAAGGAGCGAGACGTTATTAAAATTCGACTCTAATTGATTCTAATTTAATGGTCATTATCCGCCATATCAGACTCATAATGGTGCTCAATTATCATTTATATCTTAACAGCAGACAAAATATTACAGTGCTCTCAATCTCAAATACCAGCACAGTTTTTCAAAGTGACAAATCTGTCGGTGGATAAAATGTGAGATGAAAATCAGCTTAAAACACGGGGAATCAATTTTAATAAGATTATTGATAAAACATTGGATATAGACTATAGCAATAATTTAGTTTGATACAGTATAGGTTGAAAATAGAAGTCTTCAGCTTGTCTCATTATTAAGAGATCTACTGGCCTTGTTACATGTGCTTCAGTCTCTTTCTAATATACATAATTATTAAATACAATAATACAATATTTTCACTGTTAAAATAGTGCTCAATACATCAATTATAGAGCGATATAGAAATACCACTGTTAAAATAGTACTCAATACATCAATTGTAGAGTGATATAGAAATACCACTGTTAAAATAGTATTCAATACATCAATTGTAGAGTGATATAGAAATACCATTGTTAAAATAGTGCTCAATACATCAATTGTAGAGTGATATAGAAATACCACTGTTAAAATAGTACTCAATACATCAATTGTAGAGTGATATAGAAATACCACTGTTAAAATAGTACTCAATACATCAATTGTAGAGTGATATAGAAATACCACTGTTAAAATAGTACTCAATACATCAATTGTAGAGTGATATAGAAATACCACTGTTAAAATAGTACTCAATACATCAATTGTAGAGTGATATAGAAATACCACTGTTAAAATAGTACTCAATACATCAATTGTAGAGCAATATAGAAATGCCACTGTTAAAATAGTGCTCGATACATCAATTGTAGAGATATAGAAATACCATTGTTAAAATAGTGCTCAATACATCAATTGTAGAGCGATATAGAAATACCACTGTTAAAATAGTACTCAATACATCAATTGTAGAGTGATATAGAAATACCACTGTTAAAATAGTACTCAATACATCAATTGTAGAGTGATATAGAAATACCACTGTTAAAATAGTACTCAATACATCAATTGTAGAGTGATATAGAAATACCACTGTTAAGATAGTACTCAATACATCAATTGTAGAGTGATATAGAAATACCACTGTGAAAATAGTGCTCAATACATCAATTGTAGAGTGATATAGAAATACCACTGTTAAAATAGTACTCAATACATCAATTGTAGAGTGATATAGAAATACCACTGTTAAAATAGTACTCAATACTATCTGAAGATCGGTTGAAATTCTGAGTAACAAGATGTTTAAAAAGTTCTGTTTTAATATTTCTATTTATATTGAGACTTGTTATTGTTGAATAATATATATATATGTATGTATAAATCGTATTAAATGAAGGACTGTTATAATTTATCCTGATAAACAAATGCCGGTCGGCTTCAGGTAATTCAACAATGACAGGTCTCACAGTAGGGCAGACTGATAGAATTCTTTTATCTACACAAATTCAAAGGTATGAGACGTATTAATAAATGTAACATATAAACACAAAAGACACATACATAAGTCCCAAACATTAATCTAGAATCACAATCAAAACTCCTTGATTCATTTTTGAAAATAAATAATGGAGTAATTACTTAAATAGAAAAATTCAACAGACAGAATTTTTCTTTTTTTTTTTGAATTATCAGAGAAAACCTTTGAGAAAATACAATAATTTAGTCTCAAGTTAGACAATGATAAATTCGAATAATACACATCCAGTGGCAATGTCAAACAAATCGAGGAGTCTAATTTATTTTAGGGTATATTCGAGTATTCCCCATATTTATGCACATTCGTGCGTTCATGAACATATCTGACTGAAGTCACTCATGACTTGACATTCCTGCACCTACCGTTGTCGAGCAAGCGATATTTTACAGATCTGGCTAAAATTCTAAAATTAATCAAGAGCAGTCCACTTTATTTTGAGGGAGAATAAATAGTAATTGAAACTTTGAAACTCGGTCTAACGCAGGCCCATAGACAAACATACTTGATCGACAGGTATTATATTCAGAGGGACAATGGAGTGTGATGTTTATTTGCAATGATGATATTGGTCGACTTTTTTAGTGAGGGGTAGTCGGGGGTGATGGCAATCCACTTTTTTTTTATTAACGTTGTGTTCATGACTATCTAAACTACCTAGACAATAAAGTGAACTGTTCCGGAAATACTGTTATGTTTTCAATCTACCCGGTTGTTCAGAAATATACCTACATAAACCATGCAGCAATTATTTTTCTTCAGAACATTTTTGATTGCCTTTTTTTATATCAGAGACTGTAGATTTGAAAATGTTCAAAATATTGACAAAACCGACAAATTAGATGGAAATTATCTCGAATTTAATCGATTTAATGCCAGTCAGCATTTCTTCCGACAGAAATATCTTTTCTCGGAAAATATGTGTCCAATGACAAATGTCAACCTGCCAATAAAGTACAGTAAAACAACGTCTATGTATAAAACTGTCCATAATTTACAACTTGTATTTTCCTAAAATATCATGGATGTCTTTAAATATAATATTATTATAATAAAACACTAACTGACAAAAACTTCGTGTTACAGATACAGAAAGCTATGACCCACAGCCCTGATGTTAAATAATATCTCTTATTTTTACTGTTTTGTGTCGTCTATTTAGCTGCAATTTCACCTCGGCCTGTGTTTTTGTAATATCAATTATATATTGTTGTTACCGAACGGAGAGTACCCAAAGCTAACATTGTTTTCCTTTATTAAAATAATCAAATGTTGGTTATATTGTATTATTTAAAATGAAATAAAAGGAGTTTTACGTCCTACTTTGTGTTATTTGAAGCCACAATGTCTGGCTATATTTTAATAGTATAATATGATAGGAGTGTGTCATTCTTACTGCAGGAAACTGCCATTGTTCCAAACACAATTAAATTCAAAATGACAATGATAACTGTCTTGAAACCATATTAAATATTTCTATTGATATAGCCCAGACAGGAAGCCACTGATTCTAATATGTTAGCTTGTCAAACACGTAGCTCGACAACTCAATCCCTTAATGTATCCATAAAGGCATGACCATATATTCTACGGGGTCTCTGTCCACGATACCGTAATACAGTCAATGGTTATGATTGTCGTGTTGGAGGCTAGTGAACACAAAAATAAAACGATTGGACTTATATTGTTATACTCTCCTGTACCTAATTAAACCAATGAAGACATAAAGCCATGTAGTTTCCAACTGTCCAGGGGTTAGGTTTACTGCCCACCCCCCTCCCAGACGACTAGACACATTTTCCGGGAAGCCCCTCCGACCTCCATCACTGACAGCGAGAAACTGGGTTGAAAAATCCGAATGGTATTATCTCGACATACTTATATCTTCTTATTGAACCCTGAACCTTCCTGTTAGCGAGCAATCGTCTAACTCACGGAGCAATCGTCTAACTCACAGAGCAATCGTCTCACTCACAGAGCAATCGTCTCATTAACAGAGCAATCGTCTCACTCACAGAGCAATCGTCTCATTAACAGAGCAATCGTCTCACTCACAGAGCAATCGTCTCACTCACAGAGCAATCGTCTAACTCACGGAGCAATCGTCTCACTCACAGAGCAATCGTCTCATTCACAGATCAATCGTCTCACTCACAGAGCAATCGTCTCACTCACAGAGCAATCGTCTCACTCACAGAGAAATCGTTTCACTCACAGAGCAATCGTCTCACTCACAGAGCAATCGTCTCACTCACAGAGCAATCGTCTCACTCACAGAACAATCGTCTCACTCATAGAGCCATCGTGTAACTCATAGAGCAATCGTCTCACTCACAGAGCAATCGTCTCACTCATAGAGCAATCGTGTAACTCATAGAGCAATCGTCTCACTCATAGAGCAATCGTCTCACTCACAGAGCAATCGTCTCACTCACAGAGCAATCGTCTCACTCATAGAGCCATCGTGTAACTCATAGAGCAAACACGGCTCCCAAGCGAACACAGAAACTCTGTGGAAACTCTATAAAGTTATATAGACGTATGATAATGATATCTATTATGTTTCAGGATAACAACAATATGATAGAAAATGAAGAATTAACAGGATTTTTAAAAGATTTAATGGAACTTGTCCAAGAGGTAAGAGAATTAATTTATCTAAAAATTGTCGATTTTGATTGATATTATTGACTATTTCAAGCTTTGTAAATTCAACTTTCCACAAACAAAATTGTTGTTGTCAAATCAATAACCATTCATCTGACGAGTTATCTCAAGTCGAATTGAACAAATGGATTACACCTGTCTGAAAGGAAAGGTGGCTATTGAAGTCAAGGTAGAAGTACTAAGTTAGTAATAGCTTGATATTGTGAAGATGAGGATACAAGAATAGTGACTATTGCAGTCAAGGTATAAACACAGAGTAACTTGATTTTTCGATCTAGGTTAGAGCCAGGATGTTCCCAACAAGACATTCAACCAATAACCAATATTTAAAAACAATATTTCATAGTTTACTTTTATATGCAGCCTTGAAAAACATTGTAAACCTTATCTAATCAATAGTATTGGTCATCTTCATCTTATACCTTGACTGCAATGGCCCACTTTCTAGATTCACGGTCAGTAATTTTATTGGATGGTACGGCAGCGATTACAGCCAATCAGAGCTCTCGATTTCGTGCCTAATTAGTTTTCATAGTTTTTCGTCGAGGGCTCAGATAGACTATATTCGCTGGTATAGGATCCGATCAATTTGCTGCATTTCCAACTCTCCGTGAAACCAGAAAGTGGGTCATTGCAGTCAAGGTATAAGATGAAGACGTAATACCTTGACCATTGTAAAGATGGGGGTGTGCCTGACAAATGATTTGTCTATATATGTATCTAATATTGTTCTGATTTCAGGATTACGATGCCGAAGATATGGAGGAATTCAAAGAAATTTTACTAAAGAAATGTGATTTAAACCACGATGGTAAAATAGATCGAGACGAGCTCAGCATGGTTCTGATGTCTTTTAATACCAGGAATTCCACCCAGGAATGTCAGGACGAATTGGCAGAGTGATTCATCTGTTGTATAGACATTATAGGTTAACTCTTGTACATCCAATAGTTGTTTCCATTGTTGTCATCGTGTATACAGTCGTCTGATTATTTGCTTATTGCTTACCTAGCTTAACACAACAAAGCTCAATGTATGGGTCTCCTACAAATAACGTGAAAGTTTATAATGTAAAGAATCCTTGTAGAAGCCTAAATCGAACTATTTTACTAATTAAGACGATAATATTCTCGAAAACTTTACAAAAAGAAATCAATATTTTAAGAAGTACAGTAATCTGATCGGATGAAAATAAATTTGAATTAATAACAAAAAAATCACAGCAAGTTAAGATCTTGAGAAGGAGGACCCTGTTTAAGCAATATTATTAATATAAGGTTACTATTTCTTATCTTTGTTGTTTTCTGCTAAGTTTAGTCTACCATATAGATTTCAGATATCAGAAAACATCCAAGATACGAAGTTGTAAACTTAGTTTAATTAAGTGACTGTTTTAGAATGGACATGAACTTTAAGTTCTCAAGAATGGTCAATATGAGTATATATTCATCAGTGAACTTACCTGGTGTCATAAAGTTACAACAGAATCCCTGTAAAATCTAGAAAATTGGAAAATTCGTAAAACTAAGTAACTATTGAGAAACTATTAATCTTGATATTAAGCGTTTTTCAATAGTTAATTGTATATTTATAGATAATTACTAAGTTTTTTTGGATTTATCGGATTATATAAGGATCCTTTTATATTATTTATGACACCAGGTATATCTACTGATGAATATAATTTTATGCTCGTATTGGCCAAATTCCTTTAAGAGACTGTGATCATGTCAATAGTCATCTTGTAGATGTTCACTAGAATAAAAAGTTTTAAATAGATATTGTATGGTTCGCGCTGGCGTGTTCCATGCCGAAGTATATCTCGATAAGATGATAACGCCTACTTTCAGTTGTACAAGAGTTAACCTGTTTATTTTCATGAATTCAGTATAATCTCATTAACGTTGTTGTTTCGATATATTTTACTTCTAAAAGCCTTAAAACAGATTTGTTGGTGATTGTTTGCATTAAAAATCTATACGCTCAGCCATCGTAAACCAAAGAAAAATTCGTAATAATTATTAACATTATCATTGTATTATTTAAAGATATACTACCTCTTAGCATGAACATAAAATTGAAATATTTAAACTTGGTTAAAATGAATCTTTGTTCATCAGTGGACTTACCTTGTGTCATAACTCTACAACAGAATCCCTCTATAATCTAATAAATCCATAAAACTAAGTAATAATTCATTAAACTAAGTAATTTTGAAACATGCTCAGAACTGTGTTTCAGTAGTTATTTAGTTTAATAGATATATCTTCTTACATATTCTATTGTTTAGTCATGACACCTGGTAAGTTCAACTGATGAATATATACTCTTATTGACCAAGTTTGAGATTTTAAATTTTGTGTCCATTCTAAAAGGTAGTATCTTTCCAAGTTATAGCTTATTCTTATTTTTCTTATCACTAAAATTCAGATAAAAAGTAATCGCTTTGGCAGGTGCTAGTTTTTATAATGAAGAAGGCGGGGTTTTCGGAATTCTTGGTGAAACACTGAATGAAATGGAGATCCATTACAGACGGAGGTTCTCTTTCAAACCCCAAAAACCTTTGGTCTCCAAACACTGATATATGTAATATTCTATAACTCAACTTGCATCTAGATAATGTTTAACTTTCTAATTATGTGGTTTTCTTCCACATTAAAGGCTGCCATTTCGTATATATACATCTATTCTTGCCAATCAGCGTTTGTTTTAAAACTTGCTTTTATGATTTATCTCATCTCATGTTTTATTGTGTATCTCTTTCTTCAGTTATTGAATTTGGATGACAGTTTTCAACCTGATTAAAATACACACGTATTCTGTTCACACGTTTGTCGACATTTTTAATTTCAACGATTATTTTCATCTTAATAGTTTCAGAGCTTCAAAAAGTCTTTTTTTGTTTATCCAGACTGAACATACATTGATATTCAGGATTAGAATGGTTAAAACTCGTAATTATATGCGATAAGAACATAATGATATGATTAAGAATACATGATAATTCATTAAAAACACCAATTAATCAAATAAATTTAGTTTGCTTAATTTGACACTAAAACATAAGAAAATCCATCTTTAAAAACTAAAAACAAAAGAATAATTCTGGTACCGGACATTACAAGTCATAAATAAAACTTACGATGAGGGAATTGTTGTCCAAATTTCAATTCGGATTCTATTCTATTAATATCAACAACGACTTGCTTTAAATTCTTCCAACTTTTGTAAAATAATGTTTATCTTCTTCTTGGCACATTTTGCTATTTTTAGTATCAATCTATCTAGCTTTTAATATCAGCGGGGTTCAGAACAGGTTTTCTATACCATGTATGTTATTATATGGCACCGCTTCCTGGAATTTCAGGAACTAGAGATGTCGAGATGCTTCAAGTCACCTCGATATATATATATATAAAAGTTAGAGAACCTCTTTTGAATTCCTTTTATTTAGTGGAGATTGGTCTGCAACATTTCGTTTTGTCATATCACGAGAGGCTTTGTGATATTCTAGATATTAGCCGAACAAATCTAGCCCTATCCGTTCATCTCCATGGTGTGATAAACAGTCCTATCAATTCTTAGGGTGTGATAACCAGCCTTATCCGTTCTTAGGGTGTGATAAACAGCCCTATCCGTTCTTAGGGTGTGATAACCAGCCTTATCCGTTCTTAGGGTGTGATAAACAGCCCTATCCGTTGTTAGGGTGTTATAACCAGCCTTATCCGTTCTTAGGGTGTGATATACGGATGTGATATCGTTATGGTTAACGGGTAGGGCTAGATTTGTCTCGCTACCTGAATACATGTATTTTCTGTTATACACAAAATGATTTGTTACAGTAAAATATCAATTCTGCTTATGTTAGACTCTCTATTTTAATAAATTTGGAAAAAAGTGTTACTTTGTCTAAAGTAGTTATCAAGAAGGTGCAGGTCAGACCAGTAGTATATGTCTTTTCGGATATGACGCATTTCACTTCTGCGAATGCGCAGCTTTTTTAATGCATCATATCCGAAAAGACACAACTGCTAAAATGTATTATAACAGACTCCCCAAACTGTTAAAATGTATTATAACAGACTCCCCAAACTGTATTATAACAAACTCCCCCAAACTGCATTATAAATTACCCAAACCACAGACAAGAATCACTATAATAATACAGTAAAAAATAACCGCATTAAAAATGTCTTTAATTTTAAAACACGAACAAAAAAAATTCGAAGAAGACGGTTTCTTCTCTGCGCTAACATCTCTCATCCCCAAAGTGGCCAACTTTGTCTCAAACAACAAATCCCTCATTTTCTCAAAAGCGCAAGCTCTTGGATCTGTGGCAAAAGCAGGAGTAAATATAAGCGATGCAGTGAAAAAGCTGACGAACTTAATGAACTGCAACTAATAAGAGAACTAAGAAACAAGAGACTAGAACGACAAATCCTAGAAAAACAAGGAAAAGGGTTTAAAATCATTGGATAAAAATGGCAAGCAAAAATTACAGATTGGATCCAATCTTTCAATTGTATGATCCGATTCAATATTCGTTCAACAAGAAGAAAGGGGATTACGTAATCATCTCACCATCGGTAGGGACAAAGACAAAGACCCAAATAAACGACGGAGGAAGAGTTACCTTTGAAATTAATTCGTTGTCCAATTGGTTGCTGCTTTCCGATGCCCATTTCCGATGCGATTTCAAAATCAAAGACGCCACTCAGAATCGAATTCCACAAACCAACACGACTTTAGAAAACAACTTCTTTCCGTCTTTATTCAGCGAAATGGTTTTGGAAGCTGGTTCAAATCCGATAGAGACCATAAAACACCCCGGCGAGTTTGACACAATGTTGAAAACGGTTCTGTATCCCAAAAACTAAGGGTAGTTGCTAGAAACACACTGGAAAGAGTGACTCGCGGAGTAAATCACGGATTTGAAAAACGAGCGCTTCAATACAACAATGTCGTCGAGAACAACAGATGGGATAATTACGTAAATTGGAAGTTGTATCCTTTATTTGGTCTCTTGGAACACAGAAAGGTTTCCATAGGTTTACCGTATAAAATTCATTTGCAAAGAGAAATCAACGACAACAAGATATTCTTTGGTGAAAACAACTAAATTGGAAATAACGAATATCCAACTTTACATACCGGTAATCACTCCTTCCGTAGAAGTGGAAACGAGAATATTCAACTCTTTAACCAAAGACATCGAAATTGCTTTTCTTCGTCGTAACACGGTAGGTAGCATGACTTTAACGGGAGAATCCACCACGTGGCCAATTACCAACACCGTCAAACCAGCGAGATATCTAATGGTCGGTTTCAGAAACTTGCCAGGCTCTCAGACAAACAACAACAACATTTTCAGAGTGGCATTGAACCATACTCAAGATCCCATCACATCGCAAAGTTCAAGTCAGATTGAACAACGATAATTATCCCAATCAACCTTTGACAATTGATCCTTCCAAAAAAGATTACAACGAATTGTACAGAAACTATAAAAACATGTGCGAATTGTTTGGAAATACGCCTCAGTTTGAATACACAGATTTTTCACTCAATCATCCAATCTTTTGTTTTGATCTGTCAGCTCATCAAGAAGATCTTTTCAAAACAGGGGTAAACATAAATATTCATATTGAAAAAACACAAGGAGATGTGACCGGCTACTGTTTATTGCTGGAAGAAGCAAAACATTTGATTAAAATATCAGATAGAAGAATGATAAGAATTGAATAAAAAAACACCCTTTAAAAATGAAACCAGAAACTTTAGTTATGAAAATAATAGAAGCTATGGAAACGAATTCGCCGACTCTAATAACTTACAACGGTAAAAAAGTGCATATAACCCAAAAGATTATCGATAAATACAAACATTGCAAAGTCAGAGACGAT